AAAATATTTACTTATTTTTCTTAATATATTTTTAAATTTTATTTTTTTGAAAAACAACATTCATTCATATATTTTAGAATATATACTCTTTATTTTTTGGGGTTCATATGTTCTCTTTAATTACTTATTTCATATTATATGCTTTTATATTAATACCTATAAAATATTAAAGTTGTCATAGCCACTCGCCTAGAGGACGCCTAGGCGGACGCCTAATCGCTTAGACGATTAGAAGGTACCCGAGCGCCTAGACTCGCCTAGTCGCCTTAACAACTATGATGATTACTCCCAGAGGTATACGACTATATGAGTCAGATCGGTTTATGAGTTGCTTCAGTCATTTACTAAGGTTCATTTTGAATAGATTGTTTGAAGGGTGTTGGATGGCTCAGTCTCTATCTTTGGGGCGGGAGGGGCAAATTAATTTAGCCATACATTGTCTTCATTCATCATAGTTCTACACTTGTAGTCTTCTACTATGTTAATTGTTAGGTGAAGATTTCGATTTATATGTCACTTTGTCATGCGTTGAGTTAAAAAATGTCAGTCTTTTTTCTGCAAGTTCTTGTACACTGTTTAGAGTTTAAAAAGTATTGTTTTATTACATTCCATTGTTTGAAGCAGTCCCTCTACTTCTGAGTAGGGGTAAAATGTAAGTTTGCATAGAGACACCCTCCTCAGGCCCTATATTTGTACAAGAGTAGGATTTTACTGGGTTTCATGTTGTTGACGGAATGCGGGTTGAATTGCTATCCCCTGTTTAACCACCTCCGTTTTCCTCTTCTCTTTTGAACCAAACCAGGCCTAAAGTTATAATGTTTTACTCTTAACTCTCATTTTTCTCTCCTGATGCCGTATTTGGTTCTCCAGGTATTTATATCCAAGAACATGGTGAAGAATGCCGTGGCGTTTCTTGACATTTTGGTGAATGATGTCACATCTCTGAACACTCAGAGAGAAAGCCTACAAATAGACTACAGATCACTCGTTAAAGGACACGCCCGTGAGACAAGGTGTGTCCTAGGCGCAATAATCTTGGACACTTTGGGTTTAGGGGACAGTTTGGCCGTGATGAGAACAAACAGAAACAGAAATGAGTGTCCTGAAATGGTTGACAAGAAGAGGGCAGAAAATTCCGAGATGAGGCAAAGGGACCATAAAATGTCCATGCCTCGAGAGAAGTTGCAGGGAAAAGATACAATCAGGAAAGAAATAGCAGGCGAAGATAGGGTAAGTCAACATGTTTTTAGAAACACAATAAGCCGTAAAAGATATGGGGACAAAGATGAAGATCTTGGTGAGGCGCGAGGAAGAAGAAAGCGAGATTTGGACAGTCATATTTTGGGATCAAGTGGTAAGGTTGAAGAGAAGGTGACCCTTTACAGTCTATTCAAGTGAATCTAAGCCGAGTCATGTTACAGTCACACCACACGCCACATAGACACCAAGGTTGTCAACCGGACAACGAGTGAACTATCCGTGATTGTCTTTGATGGTGTCAACTTTGGTGTCATCTTTCCTAAAGTATCCCTTTCTATCTAAGTTTAGTTATTTTATGTTCAAGTCATGCTCACAAGAGTAACCCAAAGAGCTCTAGTGCTATGAAATAGGCTTATTTGCAATTTTTTTCCCTCTAAACTATTTTTGACCCTTTAGTTGTTTGTAGTCAAATTTGAATTTATTTGTTTTGATGATGTTTTATTTCTTTGGAGATTGATGGAATATATGAGAATGCATTTTTCTTCTATACTTCAATCCTTCTAAGAAAAAATGACACCTAGAGAGTTTTGTGAAAAATAAAATAAAAAAATCTAAATATATGTGCCTATATTATTTGAGATCTTCACTTTGGGTATATGGATCCAGTTTTTTACTAGAAGATTAAAACATAGTTTCTGACATTCATTACGCGACCATTTTATACACTTCCTCTGCCCTATTTTTTCTATATACCGAATTTGATTTTTATCGAATTTTAAACTGTTGCAATACAAAAAAATGTATGGTTATAATTTATTTTGATGAAAGAAATATTGCGAGTCAAATTAAAAAATGAAATAAAATGAGAATTTTTTTGGGAGTTAAAAAAAGCAAGTTTTTATTACTCGCAATAGATAGAATAAAAAACAATTTTGGAACATTGTACAAGAGGGCGAGTGTAGCTCAATTGGTGGATATGAGACGACACAATGGGTTGATTTGAGTTTAAATTCTACCAAAGCAATGGGAGACTTGTTACGATTGCTCTTTCGCGCACATTATCAAGATGAAAATATGAAAAAATCTATGAATAACTGCTAGATACGGAGTACAAAATTTCACTCTTTATCAATGAAACTAACATTGTATCCTAAGTATGTGTCTAGTTTTGACTTTTTGCTGTCAATTATTTTTAAATCTTGACCTATAAGTAAATAAAACTTACCATATGGTATATTGATTAGGTGAAACAATATTTTACAAATATTGTATAAAAAAATCTAATAAAATTATATTTGTATCAATAACTAATATCAATTTTATTTAATTAATAAGACTAATCAAAGTTTCTTAATTTGGACTACAAAAAATCAAAATTGAACAAATAATTAAGGAGAGATAAGCAAATAGCACACATTCTTATGGATAATTAGGCAACCACCTACATTGGGGGACCTAGAGGTGTAAGATTCGGCCTTTTTTTTTGTTTTTATAAGTAATTTCACAAGCAAACACTCCTAAGCCAATGGCACTACAAAATTTCCCTTCCCTTCTTTTTCTTTAACATAAGTTTATTTATGGCATCAATTTTGCCATATTATGATTTATGAAAGAGCAATAGGAAAAAGTGAAATTTGCACTAAATAGGATTAAAACATAAGTCATTTCTAAATTTAGGACTTACTCCCTCCGTCCCAGAGTATTTGTCCACTTTCATTTTTACACACCATCCAATGCACTTATTTAATCCATTTTATCTTGTAATTTGTATATTAAAAAATTATAGAAATTATATATTAATAATCTATATGTTAAGACAAATCAAACAAGATCACACATGACTATATTTAGGCTTACACATTGAGAGAATTTGATGAGTCAAAGTACTTAGATGAACAGTCCCAAAAGTCAAAAGTGGACGAATATAGCGGGACGGAGGTAGTAATTTTTTTTATTTTCTAAATGAAATTTAATACTCCCTCTGTCCTATTATTAATTTCTCGTTTTGACCAAGGCTCATTTTTAAGGGGGAGTAAAATGTGAATTGACTTTCCATAAATGCCCCTCCATTACAAATTATAGGGTAGGAAATGATTTAACAACTGTAGACAATTTAAAAAAGCTAAAAGAGTACAATTATATTGTAAGGATGAGAGAAAATGACTATTCATTAATCATTACACCATAAGGAGATTTTTTTACAGTTCCCTCCAATATTTTTCTAACCAAAGGAGCAATTATTTACACTTCCCTCTAAAAAATTTCCACCAAATTCTAAAAAGTGCCGCCAATCAACATCTATAAATAGAAGAAATTTTCCATTCTTAGAACCCACTGCCCTCCTTTTTTCTTCTACTGCTACTTTCAGTAGCCCTTCTAAAATCTTTTCTCAATCTTTATTTTCTTCTACTGATACTTTCAGCACCCTTTTTGTCTCCAAGCATGCCTACAACTTCTCCCCCTTATACATACCTGCAAGCAGAAGCAGAAGGGTTACCACCAGAC